ATTTCTCCAACGGCAAACTCTCCCTTTGCAACACAATCCACGAAAAGTCAGAGGAGGAAGGGAAGAAGAGCAGTTCATACTTAAGAGAGCTGGTCTGGACCAGTTCCTGAAAGCCAGTGACCTCGCTGATCCTCAGTACAGTTTGTCTTTATAGCGATAAGGCTGGAATTGTATTCATGTTTAACAAAATCATTTGAATCCACAATGATGTCCCTTTAGCAGCGAGAGAAAGAAAGGGGAGAAAGGGAAAAAAAAAAAAATCAGCTGAGTTAGTAGAGAATACCCAGCACTGTCTCCTCTTCCTAACCCTCAACACAGTCACCTTGTAAGATAGAAAGTCCATTAAGACAAAAATAGAGTATCCTTAGCGTGGGAAAACATTTATCCAAGTTTTAATTTATTTTCAAATCAGCATTTAAACGATCACATCTTACATCATTTCCTTTTATGAGCCAGCAGTTAGACAATACACATCATTTACATGCAGTTTTGGAAGGCTGCAATATAAATCAACAAAAGAAGCCTTCACTGTGAATTAACTATTACAAGGCTCTTAGAAAGCCACACCAGCCTGCGCGGAGGGCAATTAGGAGTATCATTCCTAATTCTCATCTTTCTGGTGCGCTCTCAGAACTCGCACAGAAACATCCTTCCCCCCAGTCATTGCTGTTACACGAGAATTACGATGTCTATCTGTGAGCCCTAACAGCGCGCTCACAACAGCTATTTTCAAGTGTTAGCTGTCTTTAAAAACACATACACACACACACAAAAAAAACCAAAGAGAAAGTGACACAGCAAGTTAACACAGTTCAGTCTCAATAGCAAAACTAATCAGCCTTATGCCTCTATGAAGGATCAGATAGTAAAGATTTTAAAATGTGCAAAATATTAACCAATGCCTTAAGTTCACAGGTCATTTTTGCATTAAAAAAGGGAAGCAAACACCCAGTTCGGATCTTATCTCGGGGCAAATATCAGGAGCATCTTCATTTTGTGCAAGGCAAACTTCAAATTAAGCTCACTACTGGATGAGAAAAACTAAAATCTAACCGCAGCGATGCTAAAAATGCTTCTCCGCTATTTGCAAAAGATCAAAAAAAGTCCGTAAGGCAGCTCATCGTTTGGCAAGCCGGCTACGAGTTCCAGCGACACCGAAGCGCTCCGATAAAGCAGGACTGACTTCAGGAGGAAAGGAGTCCGGAGGCACGGCCATCCCAGCGGCACGCACAAAAAGCACAATGACAGGCTAACACCGTTTTTCTGCCGAATTCTGTGCCGCTCACATCATTCCTTGCTTGCACCTCGCTAGCTAAAGGTGGTGCGTGGCTACTCTGTTGCTTAAAAGAGGGCTTGGGGGGGCTGAGCCGCAGGTGGGGGTGCTGCCCTGCCAGCTCTGCCAGCTGCGGGCAGGCAGGGCGCTGCTCCCGACAAGCCGGCACACGCCCGCCTCAGCTCCCATCAGCTGGTACCGACCTGTTGAAGGGAAACTCCTCTCTCTCAACTCCCGCAGAGGCCTTGGGGCTCCTTACAAGTGTTAAGCTACAGACTCCGGGGGTCCTGCAGGCAGTCATTTCTGCATCAGCTGGGAGGGAACTCTGCTGCTCTACTTCGCAACATTTAACCCTTTGCTTTCTAACTTGCAAAAGCGTCCCTCTTCCTTCCGTGCCATCACTCTTGGATTTTGAAATATGAAAGGGCAACCAACTTCCAGGCCGGCCTTTCATTCCCCAGGACTTCAGATGATCAGCAGAGGAGCTCTGCTCTGCCCCAGGACCAACGAGCCACCCCCGCTGCTGCCCCTTCCCCTGTGCTGGGCAAAGCCTTCCCAAAAACATCCCTGGGCAAAGACCTCCCAAAAACATCCCGTTTGGGTGCCGGGGAACCTCAGGCTCATTTCTTCCCCTGCCAATTCACCACTGTGTAACAAGCTCTTCTTGAAACACAGGGCTCCTTCACACAGGAGAGGTGTAAGCAAGGTTACGAAGATGGAAATAACGTAAACTCTACAGACTTCAAGCAGAGCAGCTGAAAACTTAGCATTTTTTTAATACCTGACCGCCGAGGTTGCAGGCCCACAGTGCACTCCACATAAGCCAACCCATTTAATGGCACAAGATCCCAGGAGGATCCACACGGCTCTGTGACAGGGAGTAACTCCACTTGCATTTAGGTGCCAAACAACCCAGGGCTGCCCTCGTATTTCATGCCCATATACACATCTATACACCTATATATAGCTAAATAACTAGCTACGGTAGAACTATCTATAGAAATATGGCTAGATAGATAGATCCGAGCTATTTCCAGCAGGCTCAGCTAAGGCAAAGAGGAGAAAATCAGGACTATTTTCTGCTTTTCAACAGGTCGGCGCAGTCTCCTTCCCACTGCTGGAGAGGAGACTCCCCAGCAAGGCAAACGACCTTCGGTATCATCGCCGGGGTGTATGAGCTAGACAAAGAGATAACGTCATGCCCTCTCCCGCTCCCTCCGTCCTCCCCGCAGTGGCAGGGAGCCAGCCAATCCCGCTCCCCGCACCCGGGTGACATCATCGCTGATGCCGATACACAAATGTGGAAGTACATCAAACTAGCGCTGCCCCAGAGATCTCGGGGCACGGCTCCTCAAAGCCAACCTACCCGCCACCAGCCCCTTGGGATGACGGGCCAGTTAAAAGAAAACCACTCGGGAAGCGGGATTTCGAGGAGGGGTTGCTGGGTAGGAGGAAAGCGGAAGGCAACGAGCAAACACAGCGTAACCACGTTTTTCCCTTGGTTATGCAGTTCCTCCGAAAGCCCTGCAAGCATACACACACAGTTTCATCTTTGGGTGCCCCTGGAGCATTTTTCCTAACAAAACAGAGAAAAGTTAAATAGTATTGCACTGATTTTTTTTACATAACTGCATTCTTTTAAGAAGAAAGCCAAGGTTTAATCACAGCAAGGAAGCTTTTTGGTTTGGTATTTTTTGTTTACATACAACCCTGTTAGGTGTCCACATTTTAAGACTACCCTACACAAATGCGGACAAATGCCTAAGAAGTAGCAATGCAAATCCAAACTTACACACCTGTCAATCCACTACTGTCTGAAAGGCTCTAAAGCAAAGCACTATTTACCTATTTCCTTTACTCCTGGCACCAAATCACCATGCCCTCGGTTACCAGGCAAGAGGAAACATTGCCACCGTCATCTAACCAGCAAGGAAGGGCAGGGAAATCTCATCAGACACAGCCTAAAGCTAGCGCCCTGACAGAAACCACCACCGCCCCCCCTGTTATCCGAGTGACACTGATGCCCTTAGACCTCAGGTGTTCATTCACTCTTCCAAGTCAATAAATGCACGTGCTCAGTTTCATTGCTAATGCTAACTACGCCAGCAGAGTTCTAGCATACTGAAGGAAAACAAAATTTAGAAATTCTGTTGTCAAGACTGTTAAACCACCGAGGACTTCACTCATTAAGTCAAAGCGTTAACAAGTAAGCCGAGAAACAATGCACCGAATCGCAATAATTAACAGGAGAGTTTCAAGTCACACATTCATGCCCTACTCTTTTTTTTTTGTTTGTTTGTTTGCAAGAAAGGTTCAGGTGATGCAAGCTCCGGGAGCAGAAGGATTACAGAAGAAAATTAAATGGTGTCATTTCATTTGTCAGAAAAAAATGTCAGAAAAAACCTAAATGGTCAAGGTGGTGTCGAAGGGCAGCTTTTCACCCATCTCCCCCCTCTCTTCTGGCCTTTTGAGCCACATCCTTTTTTCCAGCTTTCTGCCAAGAGCAGCAGCCTGGTTATTCCACTCCCAGCCCTAAAATGCAACTCACACGCCGCGCAGGCAGGCTCCTTCTCCATCAGGAAAGCTGAGGTTCACGCCCTCAAAACAAACTGACATGTGTTTCATTTGCAGAAGAGGCACCAAAGTGCTTTATTTAGTTACTGGAGCTGCAAGCAGCAGTATCTTGCCATCAGGGAAACTCAGCAATTATACTGCCTTGTTTATAAGCAAAAAAAAAACCAAAAAACCAAACAACCGAGCAGCTAGGCATACTCGGTTACTTTCAGTTATCTCTCCTTTCCTCTGCAAATGTGCCTTGCATTTCGATACAATATAAGGCTAGAGCCTTCTGTCTTTAGCCAAGTATTAAGACTGTGTGAATAATTAGTCATCCTGGCAGCTAGCATTCACTGCAAAGTCATGCAATCTCGAGATTTGTTTGTTCCACTGACTGGGGGGGGGGGGGGAAAGGGGGGATGTTTACACCCCCAAGGGGCCCCTCCCATTTTTTTTTTTGGGGGGGGGGGGGTGTGGGAAAGTAGGCTAGTTTCACACCCACATGGGCACTCTCCAATTTCTATTTTTTAAAGTCATACACTTGTCAAACAGGTTATTCTGGGAATTCTGATTTTCACAAAATAGGCTTCCCTGTTTCGATGGCTTATTGTTGTCGCTCTGCCCCCCCGTCACTGCACAGCCCAGCCCAGCAGGATCGGATGCGGCACCGTTCACCCTCGACTCGACAGCTTCAGCACTTTGAAGGGCTTCCAACAAGGAAACCGGGTGACAACTGTGCTGAAGGCCAATGCCTTTGTCTAAAGTCTCCACAGCAGCAGCAGGAACTTCCATGAGGACTTCAGCAGCAATTCTGAATAAGCCCATGGACCTATCTGTATAGCCCAGACGCACTCTTGACAGCGTCCACTCGGTTTGGTTGTTTCTCTGGGAGGGGGCCAGAGGGGAATAAGGGCAATAACGGGCAATTTCATCGTTTCAGGATGGGTACTTGGGAGAGTCATTTGTGCCGCTCTGGGAAAGCAGAAGCCAAGAGGCTGACAAACTTGTCACGGGCAGCAACAATGACAAGGACAACATTTTTATCATCTCTAACCGCTCCGCTTGCCACAGCGGGTGGCTCGCCATCAGCCGTGGGCTCAGCCCGGCGGAGACACCGGCTACCCTCCAGAAAAATGACAATAATAAAAGGAGAAGAAATTCTGCCACAAACCTTGTAGACTTGCCCGTACGTGCCATTGCCAACCACTTCCACCAGCTCAAAAATCCCAGCGGGGTCCTGGGGCGGGGAGGAAGGGGCGAGAGGGGGCGGGGGGGAGAAGAGAAGCGGGGTTACATTTTCGTCAGGCGATGGCCGCTGGCAGAGCCCAGCCAGCCAGCCCGGCCCC